CAGAAATCTTGATCGACTGTGCTTTTTTTTCGCGAATACGCAAAGCTTGCATATCATTTCATTAATAGGTAGGAGAGAACAAGAGTAACATAGATAAAAGAGGGGGAAGTGGGAAAGAATACAACACAGCATACACTCTCCTAGCTCAAACTCCAGCCAAGGAAGGCGAGGAGACAAGACCCAGAGCACCTAGACCGCGTCACAACCATCACAAGGCACCACCGTCGCACGGCCACCGCTCCAAGACAGACCAAATCAACGTACCCCCACCTTAAGCGCCTAGAGGAGTTGGCAAGTGGGAAGCAGGATTTGGCTGAACAGGAGGAAGAAGCCATGGATGAGGCACCGACAATGTCGTACATTGCGCCCCGAATGCCCATGCCCTGAGAAGCAGCCCAAAACCAAGCTTGGCGTCCACCATCTTTAATTCCAACACTGGAGACGCCACGAGCAACCAAGACCGCGCCTTCAAGAAGGATACGACGTCGGGATGCCGCCGCTGTCCGATCTGGTGAACCAGACCTGGGGGTTTCCCCCGGTGCGCGAAGCGGGACACAGACAAAAGACCATGGCAGCGCCTTCAACAAGGACACGGCACCCGCAGGTGTCGCCACCGCCAGCAACAGCAAGCTGAGCAAGGATTTCCTATGTCAAACCTTTTTTCCTTCTTTTTCATGAATACGCAAAAGTTGCATATCTTTTCATTGATAGAAGAAGGATAGCACAACATGGGATAACAACAACTCACTAAGCCATGTACACAGAGAGGCATGAAATTGAGCTCGTAAAATGACAGACGTGGGGTTGCTCAGCCCCAAAAGACCTCTCAGATTAGCCCTTGGGGATGGTGTTTTGGATTCCGATGGGGCAGGCCCTCCTATGTCAAACTTCACTAAATCTAATAAAATGTTAGCAAATTTGAAGATCTAGCTTTGATTTATGTCAACCTTTTTAAAATTTGAAAGTCTATAGAAAAATGTGTCAAGATAATTGAATTTGTGGTTCAACCAGTTACTCCAAAAATTCAAACCGATGGAATGAGACGGGCGATATATTTCAAAACTCTTCCTCGCATCTAGGCCTTTTTGTAGTCATGCGTGGGATTGATGTGGGCACAAATATCTTCTTTTCTAATACCGTGTTAGCATTGTTTTGAACCCGAGACCTTTTAGCATCGATACCATATTGAATTAATGCTCCAATTATTTCATCCGAAAGTTTGAACTGATAGAAAGAGGGGACAATATATTTGCATATCAACAACATCAAATTAGTTTCATTATAATATCCATCACAAAATATACCGTTGTACTATGTAATACTTCCTCCGATCCATAATAAGGGCCCGTTCGGAAGCTCTTCGCTTCCTCGCTTCTCCGGAATAAGTGCCGCGGTTTTAAACTGACATTGAAGTAGCATATTTTTCATTTGGAACTGAAGGAGAAGTTCAACAATAGAGTACAACTTGATTTGATTTGGAACTGAGGGAGTACTCCCTAGAAAAATGCTGGCGTTGACTTGTAATTATTCGCACGATATCGTGCAAAAGGAATCAAACCAGGGTGCACAAAATTGATTCATCTATGAGTCGACGGAGTGTAAAAAAAGTACTCCTAACATTTTCTTGAAAATTGCCGGCATTGACCTGTTAGAACCACAGAGATCAAATCAGGGCTCTGCACTCTAACGTGCTGCGTACGGGTGGGTACATGTATGGTTCAGATTATTATGCAGAATGTCAACGCCTGAGATCTACTCTAGGTTGACGGTTCACTGCCTGACACTGACACATCATGCATGCCAATATGCCATCACTAATTTGTGCCCGCTGCATGCATGCATGCATGCAGGCCCGCTGCTGAACGGCAACTTCGAGTACCCGCCGAACAGGTCGCAGATGAACGGCACGAGGGTCACGGGCGCGCACGCCATCCCCTACTGGAAGGCCGCCGGCCCCGTGGAGTACGTCGAGTCGGGGACGGACCGGCCGGGCGACGGCATGGTCCTGCCGGTGCCGGAGGGCGCGCACGCCGTGCGCCTCGGCAGCGGCGCCTCCGTCCGGCAGCAGCTCAGCGTCACCCGCGGCGCCCGCTACTCCGTCACCTTCAGCGCCGCGCGCACCTGCGGCCAGTCCGAGCGCCTCCGCCTCTCCGTCGTCCCCGACGCCGCCGCCGACGCGCCCGGCCGGGAGCTCCCCATCCAGACCGTGTACAGCGCCAGCGGCTGGGACTCGTATGCCTGGGCCTTCCACGCCGAGCGGGGCGTCGTCACGCTCGTCATCCACCACAGCGACGACGGCGGCGGCGCGGAGGACCCCGCCTGCGGGCCCCTCGTCGACGCCGTCGCCATCAAGACCCTCCACCCTGCCGCCGAGGCCGCCGGCGGCAACCTGCTGAGGAACGGGGGCTTCGAGGAGGGGCCGTACGTCGCCCCGGGGTCGACGTGCGGGGTGCTGGTGCCGCCCATGGGCGAGGGCGCCGTGTCGCCGCTGCCCGGGTGGATGGTCATGTCCTACTCCAAGGCGGCCAAGTACGTGGACGCGGCGCGCCACGCGGTGCCCGGCGGATCGCGCGCCGTGGAGCTGGTGGCCGGCGTGGAGGCGGCGCTGGTGCAGGAGGTGGACACCGTGCCGGGGAGCGCGTGCCGGATGGAGTTCTCCGTCGGGGACGCCGGGGACGGGTGCGTGGCGTGCGGGCCGGAGCTGCAGCCCATGCGCGTGGTGGCGGCGGCCACGGGGGCGCAGGGGACCGCCGCCGTGGAGTACCATTCCCGGGGCACGGGCGGGCGCGCGCGCGGCGCGCTGTCGTTCACGGCGGAGGGGAGCCGCACGCGGGTGGTGCTGTATAGCTCCGGCTACCACACCATGTCCGACGGCAGCGGCTCGCTCTGCGGGCCCGTCGTCGACGACGTCTCGCTCGTCTGCGCTTAGAAGCCGCCGCCGGATGCTGCGTCGCTAGCTAATGTGTCGGCACGGCAGCCATGCGCGATTATTTTAGACATTGCACCATCTCACATTTCTTTCGTTTCTTCTCTTCTGAGGAACATCATCAAATTTGAACGATTCATACGTAGGTCCGTACAAGAGATCTCAAAGGAATTCTTTCAAATTGTTTCAAATTGTGTCAGTACAAGAGATTATCAAAGTGGCAAGCTTATAAACGGCTTTATTTGGCAGATTATCTTTCGAGGTAAGAATGTACCAAAATCTATCTTGTCTGTAATCAAGTCGTCAATCACCATCGCTCGGTGAAAGAATGCTTTGCCATTCCGCGCATCAAGAACAGCGTCCGTTCCGGTGCGTTATTACCACCTGACAGCGAGGAATTATTCTGTACACATCCGAGACCATCGCCGCAGTCGACGTTATCATCATCGTTGTGCTGCATCTTGTCTAGTTTTTCTTCGATTTGAGCTCCGCCACTCTCTCCTCCGTGGACTTCATAGCTTCTCCGTATATGCTCACCAGCTGATAAGAGTTTCAGAGCGAGATAAGTTCAGTGGTGTCCGGAGAAAAGTAAAGGATGATGGTGCTACTGTTATTTCTGATCTTACCTCATCAACTTCGCCAGGGGTCATTGTCAATGGCGGTGACATCATAATGCTGTCGCCGGCAACCCTGACCAGCATGCCACGCTTCTGGCACTCCTGTCCGAAGATAGCACCAACACCTGAATATGCCATCAGGGAAACAGTTTGTAAGGATACTTTCTGGTTCAGTGAACGTATGTATATTCTGGAACACGACCAGTCGTTCTATATTTCTGGGATGATAAACTTCTACTCCCTCTGTAAACTAATATAAGAGCGTTTAGATCACTAAAATAGCAATCTAAATCTTATATTAGTTTACGGAGGGAGTACTAGTATAACAATGCTCCAGTGAGAGTGGTTCCAAGCTATGACTTGTTACTTACCCCATTCAGCAGGGAATGGGTCATCTCGTGATTTATTATTGGCGAACTCAGTTCCGAGTATCAATCCTACACCACGGATCTGCATACAGGAGCATGTCGATTATGCTTTTGAACAAGAAAAGAGTCCGCTGAGACAAACAAGAGCAGGGTACCTCCCCAACAATTGGACTTCCTGCAAAGGCCTTCGTTCCCTCCTGGAAGCGTGGAGCGATTTGCTTCACATGATCAGGAATATTCCTTTCCCTGATACCATATAGTTTGCGAAAGATTCGTAAGGACAAGAAAGCAAATACGGGCAGAGGTAGGGGCTCTGTGTGCTATGGGAAGTGCAGTATACCGATAGATTTTCAACGCCTCAATGGCGACAGCACAAGCAACTGGATGGCCAGAGTATGTAAAGCCATGAGCAAATGAACCTGCAAGAAAAAGACAGCAGCTCAGCGCACATCACATTTGTGAAGCTCACATATCCTTAAAAAAAAGGCTAGAGACATGCCAACACAGATATGACTAATTAAGCTCACGCAATGCCATTCACTTACCTAGCTTATTGCTCTGAGAATCAACCACAGCTGCTATTTCGGGGCTAACAAGAGTCGCTCCAATGGGCACATACGCAGACGAAAGAGCCTGTTTTCATGAAATTGGCAGGCTCGGCTGACATCGGATAATTAATATTTACTGATATACTGTTGTGAAAGGATATTCACCTTGGCCAAGGTGACTAAATCTGGCTTGATGTTATACATATCAGATCCGAACATGGTTCCCAACCTTCCAAATGCGGTAATGACCTGAAACACATCATCAGTTAATAACGACTGCATACAGAAGTTTCCTGTGTTCCTGCACTATCTAGTATTTTGTTTTGTGTTTGACTTCACACGTGAGTTTAAAGTACCTCATCTACTATGAAAAGGATGTCATACTTCTTAACCACAGCTTGAACCTGTAGGCAGACAGGAAGATGAGATAAGATAAACAAGGAAAAGAAGAATTCAAGTCCACTATATAGAAGCAACCTAATATATACACTAGCTTTAAGGGTTCATCAGGCAATAATGTTTCTGTGGATTCTGCTAAAAAAAGATGTTTCTGTGGAACTACTGCAGCATAAGAGAGTGAAGAAGTATTTAGAAAGCTCAGTAAAGTGTAATCTTAGCTTCACTGGAACTTAACAGTGGGGTCAAATAAATGAATTGAAGAGTCTCCTTCCCCTTACGTAATCTATCAAAAGATGTAGCTCAAGGATTTTAAAACCACCTTATCAAAATAGGTCTTTGGAGGAGGGATGACACCACCAGCACCCATGACAGGCTCAGCAATGAACGCAGCAATCTAACAGGAGAAAAATGCATGAGTCAAGTAGTATACTTGGGACCTATTGCATAAATATAAGTTTGGTGACAAGAAAACCTTACTGTTTCTGGTCCTTCCTTGAGGATAAGATCCTCTAAATTTTTGGCAAGTCTTGTTGCAAATTCTTCTTCTGTCTCACCTGCCCCCCACCAAAACAATTTCATTAGTAACAAAAATGCTGCATTGATCATAAAACTAAATTTTGAAATAAAGAGTACCAGGAAGATGGAAGCGCCAGTAGTGAGGGCAGTCTGTGTGCAGAACAAAAGGTGCTGGCAGATCGAACTTCTGGTGCAGGGCAGGAAGACTAAAGATACAGAAGCGATTAGCAAATAAATTAAGCATCAATAAGAAATGGACTACTAGATTCGTCAAAGTACTAGGTAGTAGGTACTGATAGAAAGAAATATCCACATAAGAAGAAAAACACGGTTTTTTTAGGCCAATACTCACCCAGTGAGACTAGCTGATATTAATGTTGATCCATGATATCTGCAATAAATACAACGGTAGTAAGAAGGAACTCAAAGTACCTCTGAATTACATACAGAATATAACAACGAGACCCCAAGAATATTGAAGTCATGACCCAGGATGGAAATTGATGCCACTGAAAATTACTTACAAATAAAGAAAACCCTATATTTCTAGTTTGAAGATCAAAGATTGAGAAACTATGTTACTTACGCTTTTGATCGTGCAATAAACTTTTTCTTGTTTGGCCTCCCCAATGCATTGTTATAATACCATACCAGTTTGACCTGAACAAGTGTAAACGTTGTAAATGTGTCAGCAGTGCTGTGAGAAACCAGAAGAGGGAGAACAAAACAAATTCCACATCAGCACAGATAACTAGTGCTTATCACCAAATGACTATGCCATTCAGTATGGCAAATATATCAGCTAAACATATTGAGTGAAATAAACAACTAAGGCTATGGCCATCTCAAAAAAGTGCAAATGGTGAACCAGGGACAATAGCTACACTAGCCTTCTAGAAATGGAACACCCAAAAGGTTCTCTCTTTTGACACGTGGAGGAACCATGTAAATCTCACAATCCACCCTACTGTTTGTGTTTCAGTGCCCCAACTTTTTCCCTGAGAAAAGGTTCCTAGCGATGTGTTCTTTAAGGTAAAAAAACTATGTACGTTTGTTATTTAAATAAAAGCTCGTGTCACTTTCTCATACATAACACAATGTAAAACAGTTTTTAGTGATTCTCTGTAGATGCGAATGCCGAATGACGGTAAGAGCAACATATATTGTATCTATAGTTGCTACCCTTCTTAATGAACAGAGCATCTGCACGTTATTCCAAAAAAAATGTTTTAAAATACAGTAGAGTAGGAAATGGTCAGTAGTTCCACCGATCATACATGTGAGTCATTTGCTTCCGAACCGCTATTTGTGAAGAATGCCTTTCCCATTTTGCTTGCAGTAAACATGCTAAGAAGGTCGTCTGCAAGATCCTGAAAACAACAGGCCGTCTCCATCATCAGTATCCACGAAGTCCGAAAATGATTTTAACAGACCGATAGTCAATAAAGAACGCAGAAATTTACCAATGTTGGTTTGGTTGTACGGTTCCAGAAGGAGTGATAGAAGGGCAACTTGTTTAATTGGTCAGTTGCAGCTTTGACTAATCGAGGCTCACTACCACCTGAAGAAACCATGGAAGATGAATGAAATTAGACTGTATACATTACTCTTAAATGCACAAAAATAAAATGGTAATGCAGGGTATTATCCAAAAGAATGGACAATTCTGTGGTACATAATCACACTCCAAAGATTGTACTTGTACATACCTAAAGCTGTACACCAGAGTCCTGCTAGAGAATCTAGATACTTATTCCCGTTGATGTCATAAACATAAGACCCCTGCATATTCAGGTTAACATTGTATAAGGCAAACATAGATACATAGCTCACAACCATAGCATACAGTAATGAACATCTTAAGCTTCCATTTCCAAAATCAAATGTTACATTGCAAGCAAAGTAACAAAGTAAATATATACAGTATAATGCAGAATTAGAGAGTCGCAACCTCAGATCTCTCAATAACCAGCGGATGCACATCATTGCTCTGCCATCCAGCTGTGAATGGTGCCAACATGCCATGCCCCTTAAACCTGGGAAGGTTATGCATTCAAAGTCAGCAGTAGCTAGTAGTAAATATATAGAATCAAAACCTGCATACGCTCCAGTGCATAACAGAGTAAAATTATGTGATAATTCCACAAATACAATCATAATAATAAAAGAAGATGATATACCCATTTTCTTCAGTTGAGTTCGTCTGAGGAGACGATGCTGAGCTGAAATGTCTGACTGATGCATCTGACAAGCTCTCTGCATGCCCTTGTAAGCCCCCGGCGCTGGTTAAATACTTCACAAATTTGCTTGCCTGTGAAAGTGTAAATTAAGGACGATGAAATAAATGATCACACATGAGCTTGGAATCTTTGGCAATGGCAAAAGTTGGCAGGTAAGATGTGAAGTCTGAACGGCTGCGAAAGTAGTGGAACAATCATGTCATAGTAATAGCATCTGGATCGGATGTCTAACATTGATCATAGCCATCACAACTTTTACATGAAAAAAAAATACAGGAATGTTTCGACCCCGCCTGAAGAACAGAGTGATTCCACACTCCCCAACTATTCATGTACGTAAGGAGGAGCGTTAAAGGTAATAACAGAATGGAATCAGGCACAGTAAAACCGTGCCCAACAAATATCCTCAGAAGCATAAAGGTAGATTCCAAAGGCGATGCAGATTCCGGCACAGAACCGCGCGGGCCATCACCGGAGCGGATCGAGAACAAACATAGAATGAAATGGAAATCCCCCTTTATGTAGAATCTTCACGCCCGAATTTGAATAAGAGGCTGGTACCAATCAGGCGCGCCCTCCGTCTCCGCCCGCCCGCCGAGACGGCCGGGGCCCCTCCCTCTCACGAAACGATCGCCGCCGGCGTGACGCCCGAATGACGGCGCCGGCGACCCCGAACCATCGTCACACACACAGGCGCAGGCAGGCGCGGCTCGACGGTTGTTGTACCTAGCGCGCGGAAGAAAGGGGAGGGGAGGAGAGGGGAGGAGAGGAGGGAGAGGGCGGTGACCTGCGATGAGGCATTGGATCGGAGCAGGCCGCGCGCAATCATCTCGGCGGTGACACGGGAGGATCAGAGATGGCTGTTTCCGTCGGAGAGGAGAAATACAGAGCGAGAGGCGAAGGGGGAGGGAGAGAGACCTGCGGTGCGGGGCCATGGCATGTCGCTTGTCACGGATTTATTCCGGGGAGGTGGGGAGAGAGGGAGACGTAGCCAAGTTTTCCGGAGGCTGGGGGGACGTACGTGGCCGAGTTATCCGAGCGCAGACACACGCAAGCAAAGAAAGATGTGTACGTACGTGCGACCTCTTCTTCTTCTCGCATCTTTTGATTTGTCGACATACTGTGTGGTGTATCATCTTTGTAGTATCACTCCTAGAGCAACTTCAACGCAGCTACCCACTTCGTCCGATGTTCAGGTTGACGCGAACAAAAATGAAGGCCCAACATACCAATCCATTTGCAAAACGTGTCTGCGCGGATTTATTTGTGGTTCAAATTTGCGTAGAAATGCATCGGCGCGGACGCGAAGCAGACGCATCGCGCGCTTTTTCGGTGTCCGTCACGTCCTCACCTGATGGCCATCCAACTACCACGGCAGCTTTATTAATGACGACCGCCCACCGGGAGCCACGCGTCAGAGATGCCGGGCGGCCTTTTTTAATTCGAGCGGGACTGTCCTCATCCGCTTCCACACGTCTCGTCCTCATCTCGTCACCCTTGTGCCCCCCGCCGACGACAAAAGCCTAGCAAACCCTAGCCACCGCAAATGGGCGTCTTCTCCAGCAAGGGAAAGGGCAAGGGCCCCGCCGTCTCTCCCCGCGTGCTCCTTCCTTCCTTCGTCGTCGTCTTCCTGCCGGTCAAGGCAGCGGATCACCGTCCCATGCACCAGGTGAAGAGGCATTGGGAGCACCGTGCCCCTCTCCCTTACCCCGATGTCATGCTGTCGCATGACTGGCACTTGGATTCGGAAAGGATCCCAGTGCCGGCGGCGCCGCGGTCAGCACGGGCGCACGCGGAGAAGATGCGACGCCGGAGCAACGCCAAGACCCGGCGTACGCGTTCGACTCGCCGTCATGGCAGCGGTGGTTCGCCTTCGGACACAAGGAGCCCAGGAGGTGCGGCGTCCGCGACGTCTCGCATGGCTCCCCACCGCCGCCCCTCCTCGTGTGTGACGAGGACCAGGTGGCGGAGGCCACCTACCAGACAGCGCTGGCGGTTGTCCTCTGGGAGAACAAGGAGGAGGAGCGGCGCAAAGAGGGAGGAGGAGGAGGCGGCTTACAAGGCGCGCATGGCGGAGGCCATGGCGCTGTCCGCGGCCGGCGACTGTGTCGTGTCGCTGCTGGCCCCACCGTGCCCAGCCAAGGCCGAGCCGGAGCCGACCCCATTAAGCGCTACTCCTGGACCGGGGTGGTGCGCGAATGGGTCAGCGCACCACCGATCTGGATGGGGTCGACAAAGGTGCAAGAGCGCGCCTACCTCGAGCAATGGCGCCAACAAAGGTTGGCCGAGGAGCGTCGCGAGGGCGAGTACCTCGAGATGCTGGAGCGTGACACTGAGGAGGAGCGTCACGAGGTCGAGGAGGAGGCGCGCCGTGCCCAGTCTGCGGCGGACGCCAGAGTCTGGAATACGATGTTTCCCTGGGCCGGCCCAGCCCCCACGTCGACGACGAGGATGCCTAGGGCAGCACGCCTCATCGTAGTTTAGGTTTAATTAATGTTTCAATTAATATAAATATGGACGCGTGGACTCTCACGGCCTTTGTGCCCGGCATTAATGTTTAATTAATAACTTTTTATTTTTGAAATATTTGTGTACTGTTTCTTTTGCGCGACCTAAAAAATGGGTCGGGCCAGCGTTGGACGCATGCGCCGACCCAAAAACGAAAACGGATATACGTGTCCATCAGGCCGATCAAAATGAACAAAAAAGAATAAAATCGCCGTCTGATTGGATCCTCGCATTGTAGTTGCTCTTTAAGATCCAGATCCATAAAGTTATAATAATCTCGCTAACACGCGACGTGCTTCGCTGGAGCAAAGTTGGCTGTGTCTGGGAGGAGACACGTGCAGGCAGTCTGAAATAATAATACTCTACTCTGTCCATCCTGATTACATTATCTAGTTGATGGTTCGGTTGGTGTAATGTTTGATACGCATCCCAGGAACGCCGCGACGGCTACTTTGTGGATTCAATTGCATTAGGTAGGATAAGATGACATCTTTAACCAAATGGTCGTTTGCCCCCATTCCTGGGAGAGCTTTCCGAAGCATAAAAAGGAGACGCTGCGAGGGTGCGATTCCAGGCCAACGTCCAGCGATGGGACAATAGCGACCTCTAGCGTGGAGTGGTTCCACCTCCAGCGGGAAAGTGTCACGGCTGCAACTGTCAAGTGCACGTCAGCACATAAGGAAAGCCACAGCCACATGCGATGCAAGCCCTCTCCGGGAAAACTCTGCTGCTAGTCCAGATTTTAGGCACGAGGTCGCTTTCGATTACATACAGGTTTGCCGTCGCGCCCTTTTGGTTCATAGGATGTGAATATTATATCCTAGGAACAAAAAACTTGTAGGAGTTGAGATGTCACGTACTTCCTCCATTTCACAATATAAGTCGTTTTGGCAAGCTTATCTAGATGAGATTTAAATGTGTCACAACTAAGGTGGTGTTTGGTTCTCTAGTCCTAGGACTTTTTCTAGTCCCAATTAAAAAGTCTCTAGCCCCTAAAAAGTCTCTCTCTGTTTGTTTTCAGAAACTAAAAAGTTTCTAGTCCCTTCCTAGAGGTTATTAAATGATCATGTTGCCCCTAGTATATAGAAAAATAACAATCAAACAACACTATGGGATGGCGGACCAATGGGTGCATGGAGGGGCATTGTTGAAAAAGTTTCAAAACGTCCCAAAAAGACTCTCGTTGAGAGTCTTCTTCATTTAGTCTCAAATGCCTAGTTTAGTCCCTAAAAAGTCCCGTTTGGTAAAAAAATCTCTAAGAAGGATTTTTTCTAGTCCCTACACAAAAAAGTCCCTGTAAACAAACACCCCCTAAGTCCTTCGTTGTAGGATCAAACCTACTGTAAGATTGGTGCAACATCGCTAGTTTATTTTTGGCGATCGATAGACGCCGGCACGCCGGCCTAATATTTCGGCTGGTCCACTTTCAGCCATCTAATTAAGCCCTCTGCAGCCGTCCAATTGACGCATTTGTCTTCCTTACGAGTGCGTACAAAAATAGACCCCCTCCCTCTCATCGCGCCCTTCATCTTGCGGTGTCACACGCTCTCTGGTTGCCGCACCTCGCTGGCCGTCCTCGTTGTCGGTCGCCGCACTCGTTGCCTCCCGCACTTGTCGCTGACTCCACGCATACAACAGCTATGGCCTGCGATTGCACCTCCGGTGGCGACGGCCCCCATCGCTCGCCGTCAACACTCACCACCGACATGCTCGCCATCGTCAAAATCGCAAACAAAAAAAGTGTGTTTGTTCCAATGAAACTAAAGAATAGTTGTAGCAGAAAAATACTCTGGTTCCAACAAAAATCCAAGACCATGGTAACAAAAGTAATGGATGTTTGTTCCACCAAGAATCAAAACGGTGATAACAAGAAGAAATTATGCTTGCAACAAAAAAAAAAGAAAAGGGTTCCAGCAAAAGTACTTAACGTTTCCAGCAAAACTATGAATCATCGTTAGTACGGTCGTAGCAAAAAAATCACCGCTTCCAGCAATTTTTTTTGCTGGCTCCAGCAATTATGGACCACCGTCGTGGCCATCACAACACGGCTGCCGCCGGTTCTGGCATTTGTCTTGCTGGTTGCTACTCCACCAGCATACGGTTGTAGCTCCGCCGAACTACGGTTGCAGCTCCGCCACGCCGGGGTAGCAGCATCTTCGCCGGCGAAATCGCATAGGTGGTTGGCGGTGCCGCCCCACTTGTAGCCCGTCGTCGCCTACCTGAAAACACTGGGCTTCGCTGCTTGCAGCACCCCACGCCCGCCGTCACTTACCCAGAAAAAGAGGGCAGCAGTCTCAAGTGTTGTGGCAGCATTCGAGGACGAGGACGCGCACGCCATGGCGACGAGCTCACCTGGGCGACCAATGGTGACGAGTGCATCCTGGCTGCGCAATTCCCCTTTTGCAGCAGCTCTCTGAAGGGTGTTGACCGCGCGCTCTCAATAGCCCTCTGTAGCTCGGGAGGTAGGGGAGGGAGGAGTAGAGAGAGGAAAGAGATGAGCAAGGTCGGGGCTACCGCTCCCATGACTGGCAATGGAAAAAAAAGGAGAAAGAGAAATGCAAGAGGATGAGATAAGGATGAGAGGGCAGTGGTGGCGCTAGGACCAACAAAACGAGTGGCCAGGAGCGATTTTATAGTACATCACACGTAGTGGCGGAGCTACAGGAAATCCTTTAGGCGGGCCAAATAGGCATATTAAAGCTAACCTGACAAACTTTTGTTTTATGGCCTCGTTAATCCTCCACTATTTGTTGCTACATGGGGCGGGCTACAGTCTGATTTTGCCCCAACGTAGCTCCGCCCCCGATCACACGAACGACCGGCCCGCGAAACGCACACAAACATTTCCCTTTATTTTTCTGAGTTGTCGCTCAAGCTACTATTGCTGCTTTCGTTTCTCGATCTTGTGTGTTACATTATTTTTCTTGGGCCAGGCCCAATACCATTTTTTTGCTTTTTTGTCTGTGCATTTTGTGGGCCGGGTTGCCTGTGTGTTTTTCATTGTCTCATTATTTTCTTTTTTCTTTTAAATTTTTGTGTCTATATATGAAGATTAGCTTAGTGCGATTGGCAATTTTTGTTCAAGTATGTGTCCATACTTGGAGAATCTTGTTTCATTTGTGTATACATGTAGACTAAAAATTTCTCAATAATGCTTTCTCTGATCAAAGATTTCATGCATGCTAATGTTGTATCTCGAGTGCCGAGGGAGTGTTTTTAGATAGCAAGTCATTTTTCAGGTAGCAGATTTTTATGTTTTTGTGTGAAATCTATAAAAACAAGGCTCAACTCTTTTGTTGCGAAAGTATGAATTAAATTTCT